AAGCTTTCCTACCTATGTTTGTATTATCAGTAAACTTTCCTACAATATATTTCACCCCTTCATCCAAGTTATTAAGGTAGATTGTAAATCATTGATATCCCAGCACTGATTCATGCTGCATGAGCTACAGTTCCTAACCTGAAAATGACCCATTTATTCCTACTTTGACGTTAGTAAGCCAATCCTCCATTCACGCAATTATATAACATGTACGGCATCTCAAAGATGAAGCTGTGCCAGGTGTGATTTTGATTTGGACAGTGGGAATCATAGAATCCCTACAGTGTGGAAACAGGCCCTTCGGCCCAACAAGTCCACACCAACCCTCAGAGCATCTCACCCAGACCCATCCCTCTACCCTTTCCCTGTAACCCACCTAATCTGCATATCCCTGAACACTAGTGGCAATTTAGCACAGCCAATCCACCTAACCCACACATCTTTGGACTGTGGGAGGAAGCTGGAGCACCCAGCAGAAACCCACACAGACATGAGGAGAATGTGCAAACTCCAGACAGTCACCCAAAGGTGGAATTGAACCCAGGTCCCTGGCTCTGTGAGGTAACAGTGCTAACTGCCGTGCCACCTTGTTCAAGCTAATTTAGGCCAGGTGGAATCAAAGATCACTTGAAGCGTAGGAATTAGCCGAAGTGCAAGCAGCAAAACCGATAATAAGCCCAGCACCATGCAGTCATGACATAAATTATCCAATTAGTTTATTTTGATTGAGAAAATAAAGATGCATGGTGCATTCAACAGTTGTCAGTTATTCAGACAACTCTGTGTTATAGACAGCCAGTTTTGAGAGAGTGTACATGAAAGTTAGTTTATTTTGATTGAGAAAATAAAGATGCATGGTGCATTTAACAACTGTCAATTATTCAGACAGCTCTGTGTTATAGACAGCCAGTTTTGAGGGAGTGTACATGAAAATCATCCTTAACTCCATGAATTCTTATCTTGTGTAGTAATCTTTCCTGTGGCATCCAATTGAGTGTTTTATGGAAATCCAAATGCACTGTATGTACAGGTTCTCCTTTATCCACCCCGCGCATTACATTCTGAAAGAATCCTAATAACTCTATCAAACATTGCCTGGATTCCCCACTGGCCAGACAGTCATTATTTCAATGTAGTTGGGAGTTGCACTTGAGGACTTTGCAGAATCCCCGTCATGGCAGATTCCAAAGGAATTATATGGGAAACTTGCATAGTGCAAGTACTGATGGTGGGCCAAGTGTTGGAAAGGGACCAAATACCAGAGAAAGACCCTCTGATCGTAACACTGAACAATATAACAGCAGTAGCCTCCTAGACATAAGATTACAAGTAGAAACTGCAGCTTGAATAGATTACACAATGGACTAAAGGGCACAGAAAAAGCCTCAGACAGCACTAGAAGAAGAAGTGACTATGATGGTGAAGTCTTGGTGGCTATAAAACAATAATCTTGACAAATTAAAACAGAGAGAAAAGCATAGCACATTAAATTGTTGGAGATATTCAAATTTATGCTGAGGTCTGGTATTTTTTGGTGTGGGAAATTTTTAAAATCAAAATAGGTTGTGTTTCACTATAAACAAATCCTGTAGTTTTCTTTGGTAACATAAAAGAAAATGTTTGGCCATCTTCCTGTGTACGTTGTTTATTCATAGACTCATACAGCACAGAAACAGACCCTTTAGCTCAATTGGTCGATGCCAATCAGGTATCTGAAACTGAACTCGTCCCATTTGCCTCTAAACCTTTCTTATTCATGTACCTGTCCCAACATTTTTTAAATGTTGTAATTGTACCTGCTTCTACCAGTTCCTCTGGCAACTCATTCCAAAGACGCACCACCCTCTTTGTGAAAAAGTTGCCCCTAAGGTCTCTTTCAAATATTTCCCCTCTTACCTTAAACCTATGCCCTCTAGTTTTGGACTCCCCCTTCCTTAGGAAAGGCCTTGACTATTCACATTATCTATGACTCTCGTGATTTGATAAACCTCCACAAGGTCACTCCTCAGCCTCCTATGCTCCAGGGAAAAAAGTCCCAGCGTATCCAGCCTCCTTATAACTCAAACCTTCAAGTCTCAGTAATATCCTTGTAATTTTTTTCTGTACCCTTTCTAGTTTAACAACATCCTTCCTATAGCAGGGCAACACGAATTGTATGCAGTATTCCCAAAGTGGCCTTAGCAACATTTTGTACAGCTGCAACATGACATTCCAATTCCTATGCTCAGTGCTCTGATCAATAAAGGCAACCATGCCTTATGCCTTCGTTACCACCTTGTCCACCTGCAATGCCACTTTCAGGAGGAATTTGGTAAATGTGTTATTTGTAAGATTCAGACAAAATTTAAATTTGGGTGTCCGGCTTGTGGGAGGTTTAAGCAGAGTGGGTCTGGAATAACTTTAATCAACAATCCAAAAGGGAGAGTACTCTTATTAAATGTTCCCGATCTTCACAGAAAGATGATGTTATATATAAATAAGAGAAGGAGAAATCATGAAGCTTGATTGGTCTGTTGAGCTGACTAGGTGTTAGTTTTGATGTATTGTAGTTATGTACTGCCTTATAATGTCTTAAGATCAGGAATTAAGAAAATAATAAGTATTAACATAATTAAATCTGGATAAACATGTAGAGTAGAAAACTAGGCATTTTACCAATACTTCACATACTAATCTTTCTTGAAGATCACTCCAGGCAGTCTAGTTTCATTATGTTTATTATGACTGAAAGTGGGAAGTATTGTCCTTTACCTCAAAAAGCTAAAAAAAAAGGTTTGTTAAAAGTACTTCAGCTGCTGAAACATTGGTTCTTGTGTGGGTAAAGCAATAACATTGGATTCTATTTGTCAAATATTCTGAGGGAGATATTGCACAATTATCATAACTGAAAACAGTTTACTCATTGATTGGTGTGTAAATAATTATTCATTATGGATAAATGTATACTCCTTGAACAGTCTCAATGAGGAAATGCTGGGAAATTATTATGTTGGATTGAAACCAATGCTGGAGGGAAGGAAAATCTCTAAAATTACAATAAGTCGATTCAAATCATCACATTTTTGAAAGCTTAACAAAAATAAATGAAATACAGGGATCCCAGAGGAGAACCCTGTCACAGTGTAACCCTTTGCATATTGTGAAGTCTTTGGTTTTAAGCTGTTTTGAAATTTTGTTTGTGCATATTAACCAGAAGTTTTGCTTAAAGAGGGAGGAGAGAATTTGTTATTATGCTTAATTGTATGCAGGTTATTGCTATTAACTAGGGACTCTCTTGAACCTTCTCTCTCGTAATAAAAATGAGAGTTAATACATAGTATAAAACCGTAGATAAACGAGCAGAATTAAGCCATTCAGCCCATTGAGTCTGCTCCACTATTCAATCACGGCTGATATGTTTCTCAACCCCATTCTTCTATCTTATCCCCATAACCCTTGATCTTTTTAGTAATCAAAAACCTATCTATCTCTATCTTAAATATACTCAATGAATTGGCCTCAACAGCCCTCTGGGGCAATGAGTTTCACAGATTCATCACCCTCTGGCTGAAGAAGTTCCTCCTCATCTCGGTTCTAAAGAGTCATCCCTTCACTCTGAGGCTGTGCGCTTGGCTCCTAGTCTCTCCGACTGATGGAAACATCTTCTCCACATCCACTCTATCAGTATCACTCCTTTCAGTATCCTGTAACTTTCAGTCAGACCCCACCTCATTCTTCCAAACTCCGTCAAGTACTGATCCAGAGTCTTCAACCGCTCATCATTTGACAAGCCCTTCATCTCCGGGATCATTCTTGTAAACCTCCTCTGGACCCTCTCCAATGCCAACATATCTTTCTTTAGATAGAGGGTAAAGAACTGCTCACAATATTCCAAATGTGGTCTGACCAGACCCTTATACGGTCTCAGCAGTACATCTGTTGTGTGCTGCCCTTATGAAATGAATGCTAATATTGCATTGCCTTCCCTACCACCAACTGAACCCATACATTAACCTTAAGGCAATTCTAATCAGATTTCCAAAGCCTTTCCCCATTTAGAAAATAGCGTAAGTCTGTATTCTTCCTACCGAAATGTATAACCTCACACTTTGCCACATGGTATTCCATCTGCCACTTCTTTGCCCACTAACCTGGCATGTCCAAGTCTTTCTACAGCCTCCCCATTTCCTCAACACTACCTGTCCCTCCACCTCTCTTTGTGTCATCTGCAAACTGCTGGAATTTGAAACTTAATTAAACCATTAACTCCTATATTTTGTCTGAGCACTATATTGCAAGAAACTTGTCCTCTAAAATCATAAAATAGACATAACCTAAAACTGGGATTGTTGGATTTCGAGGTGTGCATTTGCACTGTGAACCTTGGTAAATAAACGTAGAAGTGTGTGAAAATTGGTTCCATTTTTATCCTTCACCAACTGGCTTTCTGGACTAAAACATAGACTTGCTGTTTAAGATGAAAACGATGAGGGATATGCATGAATTGGAGACATTTCGGAGGAGATTCACAAGGCTGACACCTGTGGATGAATAGTTTGTCTCATGAGCAAAGGATGTGCTGGTTGGGCCTATACTCATGGGAGGTTAGAAGAGTGAGAGGTGCTTGTATTGAAGGGGTTTGGCAGAGGTGGTGCTAAAAGGATGTTACCCCTTGTGGGAGAATTTAGAATGGAGGCACATAGTTTCAAAATAAGAGTTCTCTCATTTGTGATTGAGGTTAAGAGGAATTTCTTCTCTGAGAAGTCATTAATCTCTGGAATTTGCTACCCAGAGAGCAGTGAAGGCTGGCTCGGTATATTCAAGATTTTGACCTGCGAAGGAATCAAGAGGTAGGGTGGGCAAATAGAGAAGTAAAGTTAAGGCCACAATCACTTCAGCCAGGAGAGCAGGTTTGAGTTGTCAAGTGGCCAACTCCTGTACCGTACATTCTTGTGAGTCTGTACATACAGGGTGATGGTCATCGTTAACAGCCCTGTCTTCTGTTTCTAATCTCACCACAGATTGGCCCTTCGTCATCACCATGCTGCTGGCAAGCCTTAACAGCTGCTGTAACCCCTGGATCTACATGTTCTTCACTGGCCGGCTATTCCACGACCTGGTCCAGCAACTGCTGTGTTGCTGCTCTCTGAAGTTCAACAAACCTGAGCAGCCCAGCGAGCTGACCTGCAGCAAGAAAAGCAATTCCTCCACCCTCGCTATCAGCCTCAAGAGCTCAGGCAGCCAGAAGAGCCTTTCATTTCATCAGCAGCATGATCAGTAAAGCAAATCGCAGGCAACTGTGTCTGTGTGTGTGTGTCTGTGTGTGTGTGTGTGTGTGTGTGTATGTGTGTGTGTGTGTATGTGTGTGTGTCTGTGTGTGTCTGTGTGTGTGTCTGTGTTTGTGTGTGTGTCTGTGTGTGTGTGTGTGTGTATGTGTGTGTGTCTGTGTGTGTGTGTGTGTCTGTGTTTGTGTGTGTGTGTGTGTGTATGTGTGTGTGTCTGTGTGTGTGTGTGT